CTGGCGTTCGAACGATTTGCGTAAGCGCGACAAGTGCGGTTCATGGCTCAACAGCTAATTTTTTCATATTTTCACTGTGAATAATTCACAAATAACGTTTGCTCTTTGACTCAACTGCCAACAATCGGTAGGTCGGTCGTTGTAATAGTTTTCAGTCCCATTAACACCAACTTTGTTGCCCATCGTCATTCATTAGCAGTACTTTTGGAAAATATTATTATAAATACAATGCATTTATTCACTTTCCCAGAGCATGACTAAGCTTTGCTGCTAAAAAAAAAAAAGGGCCAAGCCCACTGTGCGCACACCCTGTTAGGGCAATCAACGGCAGTTGGCGTTAATGCAGCTTGGGCGGTGTCGCTTTGTGTTTAGCTCTCTCTCTCTGGAAAAAACATTATTATGCATTACGTATTTATTTTTTATACCTCATACGTACATGAAATGGTTTACATATTAACTTTGGTCCGAAGTACCAAATAGCAAATATGTAAGCACCAGGAGGAAAACAGATGGATCCATCAAAATGCATATGGTTGGGCCAGAATGCGCTGTTACAGATCGCCAGATACCGGAGAGAGCACCCCAACAAACATTTATTAGAGGCACAAACCACCACCCAGGCACATTAGAAAGGGCGTACTTGAATTGGATTGTTCCGCATTCAACAACATGCACAACAACCGCTGGATAGGACGACGTACAGTCAGGCACTTAATGTCATTCAACAAAAATCAGTTAACACCTTCAAGAACTCTCTCGCTGTGAATGGCATCCTCGAAATCAAACCACCAGCCATAGCAGACGAAAAGTCTGGATATTGTAGAAGGTTAAACTCGTTTCTTATCCAGGCTCGGCCTCGACATACCGAATGTATATTCCGCATTTAATGAGTCCCCCCACAACACTAGTCACCTCTTTGCATGCCCCTTAAACCAACCCTTCCTGCCCTTTTCCTTCTGGTTCGAACCCGTCGAAACAGATCGTTTCTTGAACCTCCCGTCAGATGAACTCGATGATTTAGACTAACTGAACCGCTACACTGACATCAAAAGTTACAGTTCAAAACTCTGCCTAAAACATACGCACATTTATATAAATAAACATTGTCATCAAAAGCCATCGAAACTGGAAAACTTCATCATAGGTCAAGTAACAAGTCATTAGAACCTTCCAACCACACTGTCGGGACTTCTGCCGAATCATGTCTGTTGGCTAAAGCTAGGCGATTCTGCTGTCCAATTGCTGGCAGTGGAGTTGTGCAAATTAAGAGTTTTGCTGTAGTCGAGCAGCTCATTGGTGGGCGATTTCTTGCCAAACACACAACAAAACCTTCCTTGCCGTAAGCCCGTTTGTGCCGGCTCACTGAATCTCGACCACGACGTTTGATGTTGCTCGATTTTTTTACGATTCAGCAGTGAATCATAGATGGGAATTCGGTCCATGAATTTTTTCTAGTAAACTGCTGTGGCACTCAAACTTCTTTATGTTTCCTGCTTTTTTTCAAATGTTTAGCTCCTGAGCAATCAAAGCAGTGCTCACAAGGCAATCAGTATCGATGATTTCCATATTTTTATCGACATTTTCGACAGTTGGGCTTCCACACCGTAAAGCATCTTTTCATCATCTTCAACACCGTGAAGCATCATTTCATTATTGCAAAAATAATGGATTACTTTTTACTAGACCAAAGTCGACTCCAACCAACTGCTGTGGCATGAGAATTAATATTTAATCCTAAAATGAAATACCATAAATTTTGATTATCTAATCATGAAAGGTATAAAGACTTCGGCATGACCGAAAACAGCTCTCCTATATTTTTTTTGTTTTGATTTTGCAACTCATTTCCTTTGACTCTTTTTTTTTTTAAATATGCATAACTCTTAAACAAGGTGTTCTCACACGCTGTCAGCAAAAATCTATAATCTATGTAGACTCTTTAGTTTTCCATCCACTTATTTTCGCGATATTTTTTTTAATTGATTTTTATTTTATTCTCGTAAAATTGTTTTATAGTTTTTCTATTTGTTTATCTTTTTTGCATTACCTTTTCCTCGTATATTTTTGCCTCATTAAGTGGTATTACTTGAATGTTTTGCGAAATTTGCTATTTCTAATCGTCAAGGCTGTTGTGAAATGTGACGTATAACCGTACATATGCATGTATGTATATACGAAGTGGGCACATACTCACCTCGCATTTATTCAATATTTTTTTATGTTTACATATTACTCATAATCGATATCGCTTATCTGACAAAATGTACTTGTTCCACTCAAGATTTAACTTTCAATTGTAATCTAATATATGTATGTATGTACATATATTTTTATTTTTGCTTAACACGCACACACAATCATATGTTACTAATTTATTTAATATTTATTCTGTAAGTTTCTCTTATCTTTTTTCTAGTTCACGTGTTATTTAATATCTTTAGTCGGTTTCTAGTCTGAACACGTTCAGATTTTCTATGCTTTTCCGGTTTTCATTTATTGTAGTTGTTATTGTATATGTACTTACTGACCCCCTTCACCATACCTTGGCCGACAATTAAACCTTGTTAATGTAAATATTTTATTGGGAGACTTGATTCCAATTTTTTGTTTTTAAAATATCAACAATGATAAGTGGAATTATTATTATTTGTTTTTTTTCTACCTTTGTGATTTGAAGTATGTTTTAATTTTATTTATTTTATATTTTTATATTTTTCATAATTTTCAATTGTTTTTTATTTTTTTTATTGTGTTTATTTTTTTAAATTGTTTTATCATTTTTATTTTATATTGTTTCTTTTTTTAATTAATTTTTATTGCTTTTTTGGAATTTTCATATTTTATCTTATAAAATAATAATGAAAAAAATTAAATAAATAAGAAAAACAATAAAAAAAATAATTAGATAAAAAAATAATTAAATAAAAAAATTAAATAAAAAAATAGTTAATTAAAAAAATAATTAGATAAAAAAATAATTCAATAAAAATATAATTACATAAAAAAATAATTAAATAAAAAAAATAAATAAATAAAAAAAAATAATTAAATAAAAAAATAATTAAATAAAAAAAATAATTATTAAAAAAAAAATAATTAAATAAATAAGAAAACAATAAAAAAATTATTGTTTAAAAAATTAAATAAAAAATAATAATTAAATAAAAGTAATAATCAAATAAAAATAACAATAATTAAAAAAAAAATAATTAAATAAATAAAAAAAATATTGTTTTTCTAATTATTTAATTATTTTTTTCTTATTTATTTAATTATTCTTTTTCTTATTTATTTAGTTTTTTTTCTTATTTATTTAATTATTTTTTTTTTAATTATTATTTTTTTATTTAATTATTTTTATTTGCATATTTTATCTAATTATTTTTCTATTGTTTTTCTTATTTATTTAATAATTTTTTTTATTTACTTAATTATTTACTTAACAATTTTTTGTTAATATATTTTTTTTTTATTATTATTTTTTATTTGTTAATTTTTTTATTTATTAAAATTTTTAAGTAAGAAATTTTTGTTGTTTGTCATTCTCGAGCTCACTCATCTTATTCTATGAAGTCAGTTGATCGAAAGCTTGGGTGTCTGATTTGCAGTGCATCGTTGCCCTTTTCGTATCCACACCACGTTCCATTGTAGGATCCGCAAATGCTTTGAAGAATTTTTGTCTCTTTTTGTTGGCAGATTTAAATTACAACTCTAATGAGCTGCATTATTTGACTGCGATGATGTAGCCGGTATCCAGATCTTTGCCTTTGGCCTGGATGAAATATTCTTCCTATCGACCGCTACAACTAAGCTTCGGAGTAAACTACCCCAACTTTGGCGATAGCGGGTTGTAGAGCAGGATCGAACTTACTATTATTTTAATTTGGCATTTGTCTCGGCAAGGGTCACATGTACCTAGATTCAGCACTTTTTATATACCCGCTACCATGGTAAAACTTCATTATTGGATGCTATGCTATTGAGGAACAACGAACACCCGGCTGTGAAGTCTTATCCTAGTATGACCGTGACACTGTTTCATTGATATAATCAAAGCGGATGAGTCTCTAATGTCGTAGTTCCTCATCCCGTCGGATTAATATCTTCGGGAGGATGAAAGATACTTTGCTTGTCGTCCAGACAATGTGTCGAAAGGAGTTTACTATCGTTATACTGAAGACAGCGGACAATTTTTAGTAAATTTATGAATAAGGTTTGTGGTACTACTTTTCTCGACGTTTTGGCTTTTTTCCCGGCCTGGACAAGGTGATCTACTTGTAGATTGCTAATATTGTTTTTATAATCACGTTAAGGTAACCTCTGTTAGGAGCAGGCAAAGCTGATCAATGTTGTTAAGATCATTTAAATGTAGGAGTAACCAGGAAATGAGCAGTTTCGTCGAGGGGATATAGATAAGTTGGTTTAGACGGAGATGCAAAAGCTAGTTACTGTCGTGCGGACCCATTTACTTGCTGGATACATGCCAGGGACGAATCTGGATTAGTGTTAAACTCTCCGTTTGCCATGCGACCACTGGAAGAGAGTTGAGGAATGCGTAGATTGAGACTTTGTAAAGGATGTCGATATAGCGCAGTCGTTAAAAGGATGGCGTTGTTTTAAGAGGATTGTAGCTCTACGTCTGCGTTTCGCTAGTTCTCGCCGTCCAAATTGGTGCAGTGTAATTTATGACTGACTGGACAATAGCCTTGGCTTAACTGCGCTTAGACCCTCCTCCTCCTGGTATAATGTTCAAATTTAGCGTATATCCATCCGCTCTACTGCTAGATCAGTCTTCTATATTGCAGCAAACGTCGAATTCACATTTAATTATTGATTTTTGATTTGAAACCTTCTAAAAATAAAATCAATATCTACGCATATTAAACGTTTACACCTACGCTAAGTAAAATTAAGGCTAATAAATAAAAAAAAAACGAATATTTCTTAGTTTCTCTTATTGATTTTTCAAATCTAATACTTTTTTCTACTCCTTTTTCCAGCTTTTCTCCACAGCGGCCAACAACACTTTTGTAGAAGAACTCTTAGTAACTGAAGTAGTGCAACAAACTGCAAGATGTCTGCAGCAGTCGCAACGCCAACACAAACAACTGCAGCGCCAGCAGCAAGAACTGTAAATAATAATAATAATAATAATATAAATAAAGCGACAGCAACAAAAGTTGCCACCAACTCTGGCAGTGATACAACGAGTAAGGCAAGCAAAAGTGCTGCAAATAACAACAATAAAAATAATAATTCAAGCGACAACGATAACAACAGCAAACAGCAACGTCTCAAATATATTGCAAATGTTGTGCGTGCCCTAGTGACATCACGCAAGCCGCCGTGTAAGCTACGTGAAGTACTGCGCGAGTATCCAGAAATTGAAGGTGAACCATTGAATTTTCGTAAACACGGCTATTCAACGGCCAAGGAACTATTGAAGGCCACAGGCGAATTTAGTTTTACACAGTATGGTGAGGAGGTGAGTTCAATTCATATACATACTCGCGTACATATGTACATACATACACATATGTATGTGCATACAAACAGACATATGTAAGTGCTTACGTAATGATGTTGTTGTAGTGTGTTTCCGCAAATGTATTCGGCAAAGTAATTTTTTGGTGAATGTTGTGGGAGTGACAGTCCTTGGCCGGATAAAAATTCGGTTAGTTCCGGTATAAAGACCCAACTGTCGCGGGAACTATTGGATTTTAGTCGCCTCTTACGACAGGCATGCCTTACCGCGGGTAAATGCTTAAGCCCCTAACCAGCAGGGGGGAAACGTAATGATCTTTTCTTTTCGCTCTTCAAAAAGGTGCGCTCGAATTCACCTATTCTACAATCAACTTGCAACAAATAGAAAATTTATGTGTATGTATGTAATAGAAGCATGTATGTTTTCTGCGCTCATTCATGTCAGCGGAATTTAGGTCTCATTTGTCTCGTGAAGCAATTTTCCCTTTGCTCTCGTTATGTCCGCATTCTGTTTCACGCTTGCGACAGTTCAACCCAAAGGCGCAGCCAGTTTGTCTGTGTTTTCGGATTTTTTTTCGAAAGTTTTCTAAAAATATACGCTACTAGTGCAACGAACTTTGGCCTTTGAAAAGACTGACTTACACTGTATTTTACATAACTAACTACAGGCGGTATATAGTATATTTATATTTATTTTTAATATTTTATTACCGTAAAAAGTTACAATATTTTTCGCTGTGATATTTTCAGCAAAAAAAAAAAATATCAATCAAACACTGACAGTGAATTTTGTATGAAAGAACAGATGTGTGCCCATTATACATACATACAATTATACATATGTATGTATGTAAAATTCAAAAATGTTGTAAATATTCATCGAATCAAGTCAAAAGCGCGAGAGTAATAGAGAATGTTTAGTTTATTTTACATACTACATACATACATACATATTTTCTACATGTACACACATAATATTTTAGATCATTTACTATTGCCACACGCTGCCATTGATCACTTTTGTTGATGATCGCATTGTGTTCACTTTCCTCTGCTGAGAATCGCACTGAGTTTTCCACCTAAAAAAACTTTTCCTCTCCACAAAATTCACTCAATCTAACAAAAGTTCTGTCATATAAACTCTCTTACTCGATCTCTCTTTCTCTCTCCGCGGCAGGTTTACATAAGTGCGGCACCAAGCCAAAAATCGGCGCACATCTCGTCTATGGTGAGACAGCAAAAGTCTAGTAAATCGACACGCATCACAGTGGCACCACAAGCGAGACAACCGAAGCGCTCCGATCAAAGTTGGAACAAGAGTAGCTACTCATCAAACGTCTACCAGCGTTTGCCGGCGACGGGTCAGCAGCAACAGCGCTGGCGTAGTAATGTGAGCAATACCGTAACAGCAGCAGCAGCTGGTAGTGGTGATCGTAATAATAACAATAATCAACAGCAAAATAATAACAATCGCAATAGTATTGCGAAGGAGAAAGACAAAACTGCACAACAACAAAAGCAGACTACACAACCGCAACAAAAGACTCAGCAACAGGCACCAAAGTCACCACAGAAGTCGCAGCAGACGCAAAAGTCTCAACCAGAGCAACAAAAACAGCAGCAGCAACAGCAAAAACCACAGACGCCTTTGCAGCGTCAAAAGTCGGCCGGTGCGTCGGCGAATAAGCCCGAAAGCGGTGGTGAGAAGAAAGATCTGCGCGAAATGTTGAACGCAAAGGCAGCGCAGCTACAAACCAATGGCGGCGTGGGTGGCGGCACCGCCAGCAATGGCAATAAGTTGGCGGGTGAGACGGATCTACGTGAGCGTCTAAATGCCAAACGACAACAACAGCAACAACAACAACAGTCTGTGGCGGATCAACAGAAATCGTCGCCGCGTCCCATTTTGGGCCAGAACAACAATTCGGCCATTGCCATTGCTTCGACATTGATATTGGCGCAGCGTGAGCAGAAAATGAAGGAGCAGCATCAGCAGCAACGCGCACAGCTATTGGCGGCGCAACAATTGCGTCAGCAGCAACAACAACAACAGTTGATGCGGCAACAAGAACTCCAAATGGAGGGGCGCCAACAGCAACTACAAGTGCAACAGCAGCAACAACAACAACAACAGCATGCGCAACAGCTGCAACAACAACATCAGCAGCAGCAGCAGCAGCTGCTGCAACAAACGCGTCAATTAATGAACGCAGCCGTGGCAAAACCTGGTGTTGGCGTCGGCTCGGTACAAGATCGCTTGCGTATACGCATTAATAATAACAACAGCAACCACAATGGCAATGGTTTTTCTTCATCAACAAATGGCAGCAATACACCAGAGACATCACCGGCGCTATCTTCAACGGGTTCTGACAAACTGCACTCAACGGCGAGTTCCTTTGCTGCTTCGGCGGCCATGCAACAGCTGCAACAACAACAACAACCGCAATTTCACAAGCAACGCTATTTAGCAAAACAACAGCAGCAGCAACAACAACAGTTTGGCGAGGCCAATGGCCAGGTAAGGGTTGACAAGATATTTTTTTTTTTTAACTTTTTTCAAATTTTAACTCATGTCTTCTACTCTCTCTCATTGCAGCATGTCATACCGCCACGTGTTTTCCAATTCAACCCTAAACTCGACCCGATCACATCGCTAACGCAATACTGTGTGGTACGCCGCTATGCGCCGCCCTGTTTCAGTGCGATACGTTCGAAATTCTCACGACTCTATCAGTGTCGCGTCAACGTGAATGGCACCATATTCTCCACATACCCCAATGAGTATTTACAGGAACATTTGGCGCAAATTTCATGTGCCCAAAAAGCTATTGAACAATTGAAATTGCAAGAAGCACGACGTCCTTTGCCGTTGTTTTCGGAGGGCGATGCCGATCTCATTGATAAATTATACACAGAGCTGCAACAGCATCCACATGGCACATTTGCCAAAAATATACCAGAAATGTTCGAGGAGGCCTATCAGCAAGCATTGCCCGAACACTGGTGGACATTGGTGCAGACATCGCCCAAATTCACCACTGAATCGGCAGCCAATAATGCTGTGATCGTATTTGCCAACGAAGAGGCGGACAAAGAAAAGAGTAAGTGTGGTGAAGTAATGGTGACGCGTGATATGACGTGTAGAGATGTGTGTGCGAGTGGTAAATTTAAATTGAAAGTGAAAATTCTTGTTTAGTGCTGTTTTAAGTAAGTATGTATGAGATGTACAAAACTTTTCCATTGAAATAAGTTGCAGCCTTCACTGCTTAGCCCGAACCTTTTATAAGTTCAGTTATAGGCCAACAACTAAAACGGCAAACATTATTTAAGGTTATATATTTTTTATTTTATTTATTTTTTTTTATAAATATTATTTGTTTATCTTTATATATGCATACATATATAGGTAAATTTTATTTCTTTTGAAGAAACTATATTTAAAATTATTAGGCTGTTTATAATCGGCCAAATAATTACACTAATATTACAAGTCTTGTCAAATATTATAATCACATCATATCCATATCATCATACCATAGTAGAGAAATCACATCACATCATACCCACATCACACTTACCCTTTTTGTTATATGTTCTAACGCTGAGATTTTTTCTGCTTTAACTTTTGAAATAATCCAAACAATTTTCTAAATTTTCAATTAAAAAATTTTTATTTTTTTATTTAAAAAAAGACAAAGAATCCTGAATTAAAACCAATACATTATTTGTAAATTATTATTTATTTATGGCTGCAAAATATTATAAAAAAAAATATGAAATAAAGAATACTTTAAGTTTTGTGTTGAAAATTGCCGTTATCAATTTTATTTGCTTAAATTCAAACGTTTTCGTATTCTCATTTAAAATAATATAATATAACGCATTTGATAAGCACAAGTTTTCATTATGTATTTTTCTAAGGATTTACAGTTTGACCCCAAATTGATTGTCACAAACACTGAATACCGTTTAAATCATATTAGAATTTCATTTCATTCTAATTGCAATCGTTACCATTGGATTCTAATGAACATCTTTTGAGTGGTCATCGCTTTAACTGTCAAAATTATTTAGCATAAACGTTATTTTTGCGAATTGTCAAACTGTTCTAGTTTTTCTTCTTTTTTTTTTTATAAAAAAAAATTGAAATTCATCTTCTCACACATATAATTAATTTTTTTTCTTTCAGCCGGCGCAACAGGTGCAATCATACAAATGGATGGCATTGCTTTGCCGTGGAAACAAAAATACTGGCAATTATACACTACATATTGCGCCTCAACAGTGGATGTGTGGGCGCGTCTCTTTGGCAAGGAGTACAGTGAACGTTTCGATAGTGTGATGAGTGAAATCGATGTGCACATGTCCACACAAAAGACGCGTCCATTATCGCTAGCCTGCAAAAATATCTATTTGGTGTGTATCAATGATTGTTGGCATCGCGTACGCGTGGAGGAGCTTGACAAACCCAATGCGACTGCGCGGTGTTTCTTTATCGATTATGGTGATAGCGATTGGGTGGCTGTGAGTGAACTGTACATTTGTGAAACACAATTTTTACGTTTACCAGCGCAAGCTGTACCGCTATCACTATTCGGTTTGGAAGATTTTGCCGGCAATCCCAATGCCAGACGTCACTTGGATGCTATGTTGTCAAGCAAATCGGTTGTGGGTGAGATTTTGACTAAGGAATGTGATTTCTATAATACAGAATCGAGCGCCTGTGGTAAAATACAAGTAGTCTTGTACGATACATCAACTGAGGAGGATGTGAATTTGAATCCGCTGCTCTTGAGTAAGATTTGTGATGATACACCGCCACCAGAAATTAAACACAAAGGCGCAACCAATGTGCTGGTGTCACACATAAGCGATGAGGGTGATTTATATTTGCAGATACTCAATACCGACTTTAAATATGTGCAGGTATGTGTGTGTATATGTGTGTGTGTGTGTGTGTGCTTGCAGCTTGTGTTCAACGCATTTTATATTCAATATTTACTAATTGAAAAAAAAACATATTTATTTTTATTTATTATAGAAATTAATTCAACAACTCATCGAATCGAAATTCAAACGCGATCAGCACAAAATCACAGCTACCGATTTGAAACGTTCTAATCTCTTTTTAATATGCGATGAGTCAAACGGCGGCGACACACAATGGTATCGTGGCGCACTCACAGAAACGCCCAGTTATCGCGTTGAGGACGAAGAATTCGATATATTCTATGTGGATCATGGGATTACGCGACGTACACATATTTCGAAAATCTTCCGTTTAGAATCATTGAGTACAGCGTTAAGCAAATTTCCGAGGCAGGCCATACGGGCGCGTCTTCACAATATACCGCCTATCACCAAGAGCATTGTAGGACGCATGCGCGCATTACTGCCGGCTAATTGTGCCGCATTTGTAAGTCAAAAATTGTTTTTTATAATAAAAATAGTGCAATATTAATAAGAACTTACAAATTTTCAAGGTTAAAATGAACAAACCAGGCAAAATGCCATATGTAACGGTCTATCGTCGACATGAAAGTTCTGACATGCTGTGCAATATAAACGAGGATATACGCATGGAAGCCGAATTAGAATGGTAAATGTTTGGTTTTGCATATACATATTCATCGGTTACTTATATTTATATCTGTTCTCATAGTTCCACGGCTTCTAATGGCGAGGACGATGATGCACCCATCAATGGCAAACACTATGGCCTGGCTAAGAACAGCAGTGGCGGCAGCATAATTTCACCAACAGCACAACAAACATTTGTTGAAATGACACGTGGTCTAACCATGACCACGTCTGTGCCAAATTCACCGCAAAAAGTAGCTGAGCTACCTAAATTGCAAAATTACCATGCAATACCCAATGATCCGAATGATTTTCTGGAAGTACGCGTCACTATGTCGGCAAATCCTTCCAATTTTACGGTAAGTTGGTGGAAAATCTATGGCCTTTAAATAATATAAATGTTTTCTATGGACACTTTGCGGTTGTTCAAAAATAATTAGATGGTTCCAATAGTTGGAAAAATATCAAAATATCTAACAGCAAATAATTGTTGATTTTATTACTTTTCAGATTCAACCTTATAAAGACTATCCACGCCTTCGTGATCTCATGAAGGAACTGCAGGAGTATTGTGAAAATAATGATGAATTTATACCGGCGGATATGGTGGAAATTGGACAGGCCTATGCGGCCAAGAATCCAGATGGTTTCTATCATCGGTAAGAGTTGCAATGGATTTTAAATTAAATGAGAAAATCAAATTTTATTATAATTTAAATAAGAACATCAATTTTTATAATTGTTGTTGTTGTAACTGCCAAAATATTCCCCAAATTAGTTTTCAGGGAATATTGAGGTAGTGACAATGCTCGGCCAAATAAAAAATTCGGGCCGTTCCCGCCTTCGGGTAAATATTCTAAAACCCAACTCTTAAAAGAAATTAATTTGAATATCATCGTTTGATGATTTTAACGGAAAACTTTAAAGTAATCTCAAACTAATTGAATTGAATTAAGTTAAATTCATTTCAAAGAGAATTAATCGATTTTTTAAACAAATTAGATTAAATTGAATTCATTATATGTCAAATGTAACTGGTAAATCCCTACTCTAATATTTTAATATTTAAATACTTTCTTCGCAGCGTTGTTGTTGTAAACACCTACAATGGTGATATGATACATGTTTGTTTCTGTGATTTCGGTGATATAGCAATATTGCGTAGCGATCAATTGAAAATATTACCGGCCAAATATCGTCAATTACCGAAAATGTCGATACAAGCTAAATTGCATGGTGAGTAAATTGCATAACAACAACATCCTTTTAAAAGAAGTCAATGTAAAATATATTTCGATTTTATTACTTAAAGGTATCAGCGCCACGCATGGTGACTGGAGTCTGGAAGATTGTTTACGCTTCCGTCAACTAACAGTTGGGCAAAAATTTGTTGCATCTATAAAACGTACTACATATGATAAATTAGGTGCACCTGACACGCCAATACTCGATTTGGAATTGATTGATGTGACAACGGATGAAGATGTTTATATACATGAAATATTGCTGCAAGAGCAGCGTGCTGTAAAAGCTGGTCAAGTTGAAAGTAAATAGATGATGACTGGCAAAAGAATAGAATATAACTAAAAACTAGTGAGCGTAGGTTAGTTTTTTTTGTTAAAAGCAATTTAAATGATTTGCGCGTTATTTTTTCGGTTTTCTTTTACTAAATTTTTTTTTATCATTACAAATTCTTTGAATTATTTTAAAGCAAAAAAAAATTAAAAAGCATCTAACTTTATTATTGATAATAATTGACGATACGAAATACATACATACATTTGAAAACACAAGACTGTGTGTTTAAATACTTAAAAAAGTACGCAAATTGAGATATTTAAACTTCTTATATATCTTAATTATCTATTTATTACTTTAATCATTTCTCATTGCATTTGTGCTTTCGTTCAATTCTTTTTTATTTTAATTTTTTTTTTCCAAAAAATGTTAAAATTTACTAAACAACTCGCATGCACTTAAAAAAAAAAGTATCAAACTTAAAATGCGCATTGCAAATTTCTATATTTGTTGCGAGTCGCGAAAACCACATTCCGTGCATTCGTTTTAACTCACACACACACACATACACCATACGTTTTCGCGTTATTCATTAAACTTAGCATTTCAGTTGTTGGCTCCTCTCAAGCATTGAATTCTATTAACGAAGTTATTACTTTTTTCATAAATATATATATATATAATAAATGAAATTAATAATAAAATATTATTTTATATAATTATAAAATAAATGCAATTAATAATTAATTAACAAAACGAAAAAAATATAATATTCTTCGGTATATATGCGTGATTTTTGTAAGCATATGAAGATATCACTTGTTTAAGCAAATTATTATTATTTTTTAATTGTTTAAAACAAAATATAGTTGTTTAAGTTATTTATGCGGTCTTTTGTAATATGTATTAATAGAAACAAGTAAAAACATGAAAAAGAGATATGTAAAACATTAAAAAAAAATTGAATGAGAAAAAGAAAAGAAAAGATTTACATATTACAAAAATAACTGTGTAGTTGGTGAAAATGAAAGAAAAAAAACCGTTGAGATATTCATAGACACGCACTGTGTCAACTGATATTATTATTTACTAAACAACAAACAACTACGAAAAGGCAATTTAGAAAATACTGTTAACTGTATATTACTATTTAATTGCAACAAAAAACCTTCTTTTCATGCTAAATGAGAGAATATATTACAAGAATGACGATTTAACTAAAAAAAAAGTAAGCATAAGGAAATGTAAACGATGAAAAACAAAAAAAAAACGAAATTAAAAAAAAAATCGAAGTGTATTTAACAAAATGGTATTGCCATTGAAGATATAGAGGAAAAAAAAACAATAATATCCACAAAATGTAAAAAATATGTACGAAAAATAACATTATTCAGAGAGAAATATCCATTTGATGATTATATCATACTAAATAATTAGGCAGCTAATATATGGTTTGTATTGAATCGAAGTTGAACAAATTTTTCTTTGTCAAAGCAGAATTTGTTATTATCATAGCCAGAGCATTAAAATGTAAAGCGTGTGTAATGCAATTTACGTCCAAGTGAATAGTTTCTAAGCTGCTGAATTAACCCGACAGTTTTTACATGTTTACTTTTTTAAATATTTAAATTATTATGTAAATATTTATTGTCATTTTTCTATTGCTGAAATTCAATTTTCAAAAAATTCCAAACTCTTTGTTCAACTTCGTATACACAACAAACATTCGTTTTAAAACATATATTTGCTTAGTGCATAAACATAAATACATATACATACGAAAACCAAATGATTAACAGTAAAATTACAGCAACATTCATATTTACCAGATATACTTACATATGTACACATAGATATACATATATGTACAACACATACATATGCTACATGGCATGTACGTACGTATTTAAGTATCTATGTACTCCGTAAAGCTCTTATGTACTCGTAAATACATACTCTACATATGCAATAAAGTGGAAATCAATGTGTAAAATGCAAATTAAAAAAACAACGTTTTTTTACATCTTCAGATGGTTGGATTCAATTCAATCAAAATTTTTTCTACACTCGCAATATTATAAAGATTTGATAGAAGGGGTCAACCATTATCTTCCTTGAAGTTAAAGCAAACTGCTAAAGCCAAGGACTGTGGAGTTAATTTTGAAAAGTGAAATTTCGCTTTGGCTTTTGAAGAAAAGTTGTTATTCCTAGATTTTGAATATGATTTATAAGCAGGTTCAACATTTCTTTGATTTCACATTTATTTTTACTATTTTTTTGTGTTTTTCTTTATTTTTTTAATGTTTAAAGATGTTAAAAAATATGTTTGCCTTATAAAAGTCGTTCCTATTATACAGTTGTATTGGTAAGTATGTAAACAAACCGATCAGCAATTCGAACAGTTTTCTATAAAAAAAACTATGATTATTTGAAAAACTGGGCATGATTTTATTCCTTACTTGCCTTATGCTGCAACTAGCCATCTTACATACCTACCAGCCATAGCAACCAATCTTATGAGGACTGTAAAGACGAAGCATTTTCATTGAAAGGTACATCTTTGGGATTTACATACTGTTACGATTTTGCTGAATCAACTTCGATGATTTTCTGAATCCTTCGGATACTATCTCTGGATTGTTAAATAAAAAATCGCCAACTTAATTTGCAGCTTCTTTCGTTATCACGAATTTATCTAATGTCCTTTATTTATTCAGTAATTCACAATTTAATTACAATGCACTTTACTAGCTACAATCACTTGCATAAACTTTCACAATTTACTTTACTTAAATGTAATCTCCAACGCGTTTACTTTACGACTCAAATAGTTTATTCCGCTATACTCTATGTTGTCGCCAACGAATTCACTTTGTAACTAACTCCTTGAAAGTGTAGAATAATTGAGTTGTTCGCTATCGGAGGATCTCGTTTTATCGTTCTAAAATGTACTAGTTATCGGCTTCTCTCTTTCATATGACATTCGCCTCGCATTTTCGCCACAATACTGTGTGAAACTCCATATACGAATGTCAAATGAAAGAAAGAAAGAAACCGATAATCGCTGCATGTTCTAGTTCGAACATTAAAACTTTCCAGGCAAGTGTGCGAACAATGGGTGTATATATATGAGCGAAGACAGACATTGCAGTTCAATTTCTAAACGTGCTCGCTTGTGACAACACTGTTGTAACTGAAGTAATTAATTATTGAGAAATAAAAAAACATTGTTAACGATAAATAAAACAGTAATTGAATTTTCATTATAATTTGTAAATCTAGATCGGGAAGCTGCCTAAACGTGAAGTAACGAGTAAAACACACACACGCTTAAACCGAACTAGGAAAAAAACCGACGAGAGGACAGGTTTAAGTTATTGTAGGTTCTCTGGTTTAAATGGAATATGAAAATAATTTATGCTGTGTTTTAGCAATAATTCGTGTAAAAAACAATATTCATAACAATTTCAACAGCATTTAAAGGAAATGTACGTTTTTTACTGGTGTTCAATATAATCGAATTTTTTGGTGGCGAATATTTATGAATTTGATATTGTTGTGGAGCCACATTTGAATGATCAGCTGTTCTCGCTTTTTGTGCATCAATATTTACGCATGTTTGCATTTATGAAATACTGCTGAAAGGTTGTTGTTAAACAATGTTTAAAACTAACTCATATAGATGATATTCAAAGACACGAATTTATAAGAGAACTTTATCACATCTGCACAGTCAGGTGATAAAAAAAATTGAATTAACCTCGGTGGATAGTAACAGTTGATAACTTCAATATTTGTCTAGAATTGTTAGCGAGTTATGGCCAATGAGCGTAAATGCTGTGTGCCCAAGTGTGGACGTACTTCACATAAAAACCCTGAGTTGCGATTTTTCGGCATTCCAAAGGATCCGGAACTCAGACCCAAATGGATGGAAAATCTAAAAATAAAAAGATTATATTATAAGATCACTTACGTCTGCAGCATACACTTCGAAGATGAAGCGCGAAATAAGCATCGACTTAAAAAGAATGCAATCCCCACATTGCATTTAGGTAAGTAATATGCTTAAAATTTGCGTTTAAAATAAATTTATTTTTTCGCATGTCTTAAAAGTTAAAAGAGAACAATAATACAATATTTTAAATATAATTTAGTGGTTATGTTGCATTTTAAAGCTTTTTCTATTATTTATTTCATCGTTACAGGTTATGATGGCTTAGTCCCACACAAATTCATAAAACATTATGTAGCGCAACGTAAATGTTGCATTGAAAGCTGCAAAATACAACATATGATCAAAGGTGTTAAAACATATTCGTTTCCAGAGGGCAAGAATGAGAGATTGGCTTGGGCACGAGCATGTAACTTACCACTTCCTTTACCGCAGAAAGATATTTATTTATGTGAACGTCACTTTGAACGGAAATATAAATCGAAGATGCGACTTCGTCCTGGGGCTTTTCCCAAATTTTTCCTACGCGGCGAAGATGATGAGGATATAGAACAAAAAAATGCAGAGAGTAACGCTTCAGATGCAGACCCAAGTAATGAAGAGAGTAACGCTTCGGATGCACAACAAAGTATTGAAGAGAGTAGCGCTTCAGATGCAGAACAAAGTAATGAAGAGAGCAACGCTTCAGATTCAGAACAAAGTAATGAAAGTAGAATAGTCCCAGACGTGGAAGTATACTCGATGGACTATAAAAGCGACCTTTTCACCACACAGGAATCAAGCATGGATTTCAACCAAGATTTGCCAGTAAAATTTACATATCCGGTGGACATGGAAGAAGACGATAGCAACTTCAATACTATAGAGAAATCAGAAGATATAGAGCTGCCATCACAAGAAGAGCATATGCAAAGCCTCAATATTCAAAGAGAAAGTATAAGAAAACGTGATGGAAAACGACAAGCTCAATGCGTATCAAACGACGTTTTGCCAGTAAAACTTATATGCTCGAGAATCGTACAAGAGGATAAAAGTGACGACATCAGCAAAGAGACGTCACAAGATTTAGAGTTGTCACCATACGAAGAACAGATTCAAAATCTCCATGCTCAAATAGAAGTTTTGAAAAAACGTGTTATGTTTTTGAAAAATAGTGCTATTTATCCACGACCAGGAGCAAGTGAAGACGCCGTAACTTTTGCAAGAATGATAGTGGGCGATAAGAAAACTGAATACACAGAAAAAGAAAAAGCGCTTGCAAAACGGCTTAGAAGCAATATGCTTTCCGATGACTATAGTTTTCTGAAACAAGATTTAGGATTCAGATTGCCATTGCTCAGAGCAGTAAAACGCAAAAGAAATTTACCAGAAAACGATCGAAACTTAATCAATTAAATACTAACTTTACTTGGAGAAATTCTAAAATGAAACAAAAATGTACAGAAACTTTGTATATTTTCCAATTATTAAAAATTGTTTGCCAATTATCTGACAAATAAGGTTTTTTTTTTTGGTTTTTTGTTGAAGCGGAAACAAGCTTCGTTTCAGAATCGGATTGATACTACATTTGACGATTTTCAAACTAAATACTTTATTGAAGTTTATGTTGATGTATTCATGTATTTTTATTATAAAAGTTTAGTTTAATTACTTAAACAGATGAAGGAACTTTATTATAATTAATTCTAAATAAAAATTCGAGTTTTCGCAAAGAAAAATACGCTGATTACCCAAATCGGTGAGAATTGTAAAATAAATAAATCTCGTAGTTCTTTATTGTAAATACACAATTCACTGACTTGAATTGACATCAGTGCTATCTTTAGCGAGATCTCCACAAATCTGACTTGCGGTGGCTGTATTCGCTTCTATATACTCGCCGATTCGGTGCATACAGACATTGTAGGTTTTTATGAACTTTCATGCAACAAATGTCGATATTTCCGCTCACCTAACATTCGTGTTTGACATTTTCGCCACAATACTAAGAAAACTTTTCTTTGGAAAATTTTAAATTGTATGCTTTGTGAAAATACGGAGTCTATCTCCTCCTCCTGTAAGCACATGAGTTTAATTTGTTCCACTTTGCACCGGTGTTTTCGCTACCGAGTACCAAACTCAGCTGAACATGCCAGCAGTTCACTACTTATGTAGCTACAGTTTGTTCGCATACATCTTCTAGTAGATTCTGTTTGAATGTTCTCAATAACGAGCATTCAATGCATGTGCTATGTATTTTAACAACAAGCAACTTCATACACACGATAAATAAGAAGTATTTTACATGCTAAATTGAACTAGTTAGAAAGTCGGCGAGTAAAGTTCTATGTTTGAAGTGAATTAAAATAGTAGTGCTGTGGTTTTAGCAAAAATTCGCGTAATTTATAAAAAATTTACACTATCTACAGATGTAAAATAATATTCGCATATTCTGGTGGTGAACATTGGGAATATATTGTATATAAATTTTTATTTGTATGATCAGCTGTTGTCCTTATATGGGAAGTGCCCGTGTGTAAAAGAATATTTATGACGAGCGAGTAGAAAAGTTGTTATTAAACAATTCTTAAAACGTATACAAACTTATGTTATTCAACAACTTAGTCTAGTTTTCTCTCATCTAAAGAGTTAGATTATAAAAATATTATTAGTACGTCAGTATCAATAATTTCTTTCGAATTATGTCCAAAGACCGTAGATGTTGTGTACCCAAATGTGGAAATACCTACCTTAATAACCGTGACCTGAAATTTTACGCTTTTCCACCGAATCCCAAACTCAAACTCAAATGGATGGAAAATTTAAAGATAAAGAAAATGTGGAATAAATACAATTATGTGTGCGGCATACACTTTCAGGATGAAGCAAAATGTGACATGCGACTTAGAAAGAACGCAGTCCCCACATTACACTTGGGTGAGTAATATATTAATAAGCAAAAAGTAATAAAAAGCGAATTAGTTGTTTATATAGTTTAAGTTAAGATTATTTTATTTCATTGTATATTTGAAATTTTACAGGTTATTGCGGCTTAGTTGCACACAAATATATAAGACATTATACAGTGAAACGCAAATGTTGCGTTAAAAGCTGCAAAGTTCAATATACGTCCAAAGATCTTAAAACATATTCGTTTCCATTCAGCAAGAATGAGAAATTAGCATGGGCACGAGCCTGTAATTTACCTCTTCCTTTACCGGAAACTGATCTTTATATATGCGAACGACATTTTGAACGAAAATATGCATCAAAGAAACGACTTCCAATTGAGGCTTTTCCTAAATTTTTTTTACGTGACGAAGATGGAGATCAAAATGATGGAAGAAGAAAAATCCCAGGAGTGGAAACAGAAGAATTTTTGTCAGTAAAACTTACACACTCGAGAGCCATAGAAGATGATTCAAATAATGACATCAGCACAGAGGAATCAGAATATCTGGATCCACCACCAGAAGTACAACAAATTCAAAACCTCAGTGCTCAAATAGAAGGTTTAAAAAAACGTGTTATATTTTTGGAAAAAAGTGGTATTTATCCCCAACCTAGAACAAGTGACGAGTGCTTAACTTTTGCAAAAATGATAGTAGGCAGTAGGAAAACTGAATATACAGAAAAAGAAAAAGCACTCGCGAAAAAACTAAGAAGTAATATGTTTTCCAATGACTATAGTTTTATGAAACAAGGGTTAGGATTCAGATTGCCATTGCTCAGAGCAGTAAAACGGATCAAAAGCGAATTACCAGATAGCGAAAACGAAACATAACATAAATAATTCAAAATGTTAAAGTAATTCTAGTGTGTGGAAAAATAAGGCTAATACTTTATAAAACCTGAAACTATTATACCTTGATTTGCCAATTCTCCGGCGTAACATTTTATAAAACTTTCAAAGGAAGAAGCTATGTTGCTGATTTATATTTTAAGTTCAATATGAATGTTTTTTATTTTGAAAATAAAAAATAATTTTAATTATTAAAAAAGGTCATGTTTATTTTATTTCGCTTAAAAAAATGGTTTAATAATTATTTGAGGTACTGGTTATGATTCGAGTCCTTACACAATGCGAATTCATAGAAGGTGAAGACGTCACATCATAAGATCGTTCTTCTCTCTTTTTTATTTGGTCTTTTGTTGGCTGGTATAATAAATCCACATAATTTCAGGTTATTCCTCTAAACGTAGGTTTAAAAGACACGAACTTCTGCACAGGTAACATAATTTTTCCTCCTTCCATTTCACAAACATACATAGGGTTTTTGGTTTAGTATTCTTACTACTACCGTGTGTGAATCTGTATTGTCTTTCCAGAAGGTATTTTATTATGAACTGCACACTGTGCGCAAACTGCCATCGTTGAAACTTTCCAGCAAGGGTGAGGGCAATCGGTGAATATATATGAGCGAAGACAGATTCTGCAGTTCAGTTTCTGAAAGTGCTCGTTTGAGACAGTGAAGCGAAATACTAATTTATGAGATATAATAAATCATTGCGAAAATTCACTACACTCTACGCTGTACGAAAATAAATAATTAATAATCCAGTAATCGAAATTCATTACAGATAAGAAAATTTGTTAACCTGTCTGAATTTGAAGTTGAGTAAAACATTCGCATAAAATTTATAATAATGATAACGAGTAAAGCATACACTACATCAACTAGTTAAAAAGCAGGCGAGTGGATATTCTAGTTACTCTTTTTGATGTAAATCAAAATATAAAAACATACATTTATGTTGTTTGAGTCTGCGAAAGACAATTTTCGCCTCTAAGCCAACAGATTATAAAACATTAAAAATCATCTAGGTGACACGCAAATATTTATAAACATATTTTGCAAATTATGCCCGGTGACCGTAAATGTATTGTTCCCAAGTGTGGACATTCTAAATATAATACCCCTGATATGAAATTGTACGGCTTTCCGAAGGATCCGAAACTCAAACTTAAATGGATGGAAAATATAAAGGTAAAGAGATTGTTTAATAGATACAGTTATGTGTGCGGCATACACTTCGAAGAAAAAGTGAGATGTGAAGCGCGTCTTAAAAAGAATGCCGTCCCCACATTACATTTGGGTGAGTAAATGGTTGGATATCATATTAAGTTATTATAAACTTTTTGTTATTTTTTACTTCATTGTGTATTTTAAAATTTTACAGGATATGATGGACCAGTACCACACGAATTCATAAAACATTATACACCCGAACGCAAATGTTGCGTTGAAAGCTGCAAAAGGAAAAATTTGTACAAAAATCGTATAATTTATAGATTTCCGAAAAACATAGATGAGAAATACGCTTGGGCACAAGCTTGTAAGTTACCTCTTCCTTTACCGAGCAAAAAAATTTATATATGTGGGCGTCACTTTGAAGAGGAATATGTAACAAAAGTACGACTTTGTGCTGGAGCCTTTCCCAAATTCTTCCTAACCGGCGAAGATGACGAGGACGTAGAACAAAGTGATGAATCGAGTTACGATTCAGAGGCAGTAAAAACTGATGAAGGAAGCTTCGATTCAGATCTAGAGCTGACACCATACCAAAAACAGATTCGAAAGCTCAATCGTGAAATAGAGATGTTAAGAAGCCGTATTCTATTTTTGGAAAGTAATGTTATTTATCCACAACCAGAAGCAAGTGCCGAGTCCTTAATTTTTGCAAGAATGATATTGGGCGATGAAGAAATTGATTATACAGATAAAGAAAAGGACCTTGCAAAAAATTTAAGAAGTAATATATCTTCAATTGCCTATAGATTTATGAAACAAGAGATAGGGTGCAGATTGCCAACGTTCACAGCAGCAGAAATATTCAGATTTAAAATAGAAAAAAATGATAGAATAACCTAAATTCATTTCAAGAAACTCTAGAGGAACGAAATAAAGTTAAACTTTGTTTAATTCTTTCTTTGTATTAAAAATTAATTAGCCATTTTCTTGTTAAGGTCAATTTTTCTCGGTAGCAACCGAACCCAACAGGCCTCCATTGTATCGAATATGGACACATTATTCATTTTGTAAAAATTTCAAATCAAGCGGTCACAGTTTATAATATATAACTAAAGTGAACTCAATTTCTTATATTCATGTTCTAAGTTTCATATGTATGTTATGTACTTTTTTAAAAAAGTGATCTTAAATTATTAAAAAAAAATTCATACTTTTTATGCATGAAGGTTTCAATTGTCTGAATCCTATTGTTGCGAAAATGCGAGCCAAATGTCAGATGATAGAGAGAAGCCGATAACTAGTACATTATAGAACGATAAAACGAGATCCTTCGATAGCGAACAACTCGATTATTCTACACTTTCAAGGAGTTAGCTACAAAGTGAATTCGTTGGCGACAACATAGAGTATACGGAAAAAACGATTTGAGTCGTAAAGTAAACGCGTTGGGAATTACATTTAAGTAAAGTAAATTGTGAAAGTTGATGCTAGTGATTGTAGCTAGTAAAGTGCATTGTAATTGAATTGTGAATTACTGAATAAATAAAGGATATTAAATAAATTCATTATAACGTAAGAAACTGCAAATTAAGTTTGCGATTTTTTATTTAGCAATCCAGAGATCGTACCCGAAGGATTCAGAAAATCATCGAGGTTGATTCAGCAAAATCGTAACAATTGGTGTCAGAAGTGGGATAGACTACCAAGTAAGGAACAAATCAGGGAAGAAACTTCGAATCGGCGGCGTTCCAGGAGATGTACCAGATACTTGGTATTCGAAAAACCCAAACGAACCCGTATGGTAGAGCGATTCAACCGGACCCTGGAAGAGCATTTGCTTTTCTTGAGGGGATATCGGTCCGCCATGCATTTAACTACAGGGCAAACACCTGCGAGGATACTGTTTGGAATAACTGGCGATGCGATAAGAATTGGGAAGGTTCATACAAAATCGTAGCACTATATTATTTCATCCGTAGCCAAGAAAGTAGTTTTTATTTAATTGCAAGTTTTAATTTAATTTTTCATTTATGCCAGGGATAACGTAAAGATTTTCTTTCCTCATCTTATTGTTTCTTTAACCACATCTACGTTGATAAGTATGCAAGTATGAGAACTACATCCTTCAGATACAAAGGTCAAACGAAAGAAAGAAACCGATAATCGCAGCATGTTATCTAGCGAACGTTAACACTTTCCAGCCAAGTGTGCGAGCAATCGGTGGATATATATGAGCGAAGATAGACATTACAGTTCAATTTCCGAAAGTGCACTTTTAATTCAACATTGTTAAAGTTAGCAGTTCATTATTAATTATTCAGAAATAAAAAAATTATGTGAAAATTCTTTATAATAAAGAAGCTGTACGATAACTATTTTTGCGAAAATACGAGGCGAATGTCAGATGAAAGAGAGAAGCCGATAACTAGTACATTCTAGAAACGATAAAACAAGAACCTCCCATAGCGAACAATTCGATGCTTCTACGCTTTCGTCTGCGAGCAGCTGACTGCTATATAAAGGCGACACTCAGCTGCAAGTCAAGTTAGTTAAAAAGTGAACTGGTTGGCGCGAACATCAGTAAAGTCGGAAAGTAAACGCGTTGGAGATTACATTTAAGTAAAGCAAATTGTGAAAGTTGATGCTAGTGATTGTAAATAGTAAAGTGCATTATAATTGAATTGTTAATTATTGAGGAAATAAAGGACATTAGATTAATTCTTTATCACGAAAGAAACTGCAAATTAAGTTGGCGAGTTTTTATTTAACAATCCAGAGATCGTACCCGAAGGATTCAGAAAATAATCGAGGTTGATTTAGTAAAATCGTAACACTTATTTGATACTCCAGTAATTCCTTTTCTGTACAGATATGGAAATTTGTTAACTCGAAGTTGTTTCAATAAGCAACGAGTAAAGCACACGCAATATCGAACTAGTTATAAAGTGGGCGAGTGGTCAGGTTCTCAATATCGCACACTCTCTGGTTGAAGTGAAACGAAATACTAAAACCATCTATATTGTGTTTTAAAAACAATTTGATTAAAAAATTCGATATTTATAAATATTTCAACATCATTCAAAGGAAATGTACTTTATTGGCATACGTTAGATAATATTGATTTTTTTGTGGCCAATGTTTACGGATTTGTTATTGTTATCAACGCAAATTTGGATGATCAGCTGTTCTTGCTAAATGTACATCGATATTTATGTGTATACGTGTATGTGTAAGGCGTCGTTTTTTAAATGAATAAGGAAGGGCTTAATCAATTTGATAACATAATTGTATAAAATCGAAAAGATAGTAAGTGAAAATTTATATCTACGAAATATTCTCCAGACTCGTTGCTGTGAATTATGTCCGGAGACCGCAGATGCGTTGTGCCCAAATGTGGACATACCAGATTTACTAATCGTGAATTAAAATTTTACGCCTTTCCAAAGGATCCGGATCTCAAACTCAAATGGATGGAAAATTTAAAGATGAAAAAATGTTTAAACAAACTCAACTTTGTTTGTAGCATACACTTCGAGGACAAAATGAAGTGCGAATCGCGTCTTAAAAAGAAAGCAGTCCCTACATTACATTTGGGTGAGTAAAAGGTTTTTAATGACAAAGTGTAATTAAAAGCGAATTAATACTTAATATAGTTTTGAGTCGTTACTGAACGCTTGGAAAGTTGTCACTCTTTTATATCATTATGTATTTTCAAATTTTACAGGATATAACGGCCCCGTGGCGCACGAATTTATAGAACATTTTATACCAAAACGTAAATGTTGCGTACAAAGTTGCAGAAGGAGAAATTTATACAAAAATCGTATCCTTTTTAAGTTTACAGATAACGAAAAGGAGATATACGCTTGGGCGAAAGCCTGTAAATTACCTCTTCCTTTACCGAGTAAAAAACTATATATATGCGAGCGTCACTTTGAAGAGGCATTTTTTTCAAAGGTACGACTTTTTCCTGGAGCCTTTCCTAAATTATATCTGAGCGACGAAGATGAAGAGGATGTAGAAAAAAGTGATAACAAGAGTAATGCTTCAGATACAGAACAAAGTGAAGAAGATAGCTACGCTCCAGATCTACAGATAAATCCACCTGAAGAACAGATTCGAAAACTCAATGCTGAAATAGAATGCTTGAGAAAAGATATTCTATTATTGGAAAATAATGCTATTTATCCACAAGCAGAATCAAGTGCAGAGGCCTTAATTTTCGCAAGAATGATAGTGGGCGATGAAAAACTTGATTATACAGATAAAGAAAAAGATCTTGCAAAAAAACTAAGATGTAATATATCCGCAATCGCTTATAGGTTTATGAATCGAGACATAGGATGCAGATTACCACAGTTCAAAACCAAAGAACTAATGAAATTTAAATTTAATTAAAACGATCGGAATCAAGTTAATGCCAGAAAGAGACAATATGAAATTGGTAAACATTGATTTCATCTCGCAAAAGTTTAAGTTGCAGTTCACAACATTATCAATATTATGAAGTTGTTATTTGGTATTTATGATCTAAGATAAATAAATATGTATTTAATGCATTTTTATAATAAAAATAAAGCTTGACTATTAAAAAAATTCATAGGTACATACGTTAATAATAGAGATTTCATTTTTATTTTTGCGATCAATAAATTTCCGACAGCATTTTCGATTTTCGAAGTTGAATGTATACGCCAAAGATTGATTTTCTGCATAAGAATCTGAGTTTCTTGGTTTTTGCTCAAAATGAATTTTTAGCATTTTCTTAATATTTTGATATGGTCATCTCTCGTCCACTGCACGGAATAGTGTTTTAGTACCCAAAGCAAAATTATTTAAATTTAATAGACAAAAAAATGCAAGGCTAACTAAGTTCACAGATATTGATGCTTTCGAAATCCTAATGTATAACAAATCATGCGAAAGTTCTGATCGCGAAAGTTTTGCCTGGTTGGATGCCCGAAAAACGTTGCACAGAGTTATTTAAAAAATCTTGTTTCTCTATTATGTTCTCACTCGCTGCAAAATAAACGAGCTCGATACGATACTCGTTGGAATACCACCACTGACAGATGTAACCAACATAACCAGAGAACTTGCCCAATGTCCGTCTGTTTTTGACTTTTCCTGTCAGTTTGTGGGAGCAACGCGATATCAACACACCTCTAAGTTTTCGTAAAGAAATTTTTGTGTAACTATATATGTAATTACATACATATGTGCAAATTTAATATTAAATTAAAAAAATAAAGATATACAAATTACATAGTAGTAGTAGTAGAAAATTAACAAATAAAATATCAACAATTATTTCTTTACTTGAAGAAAAGTTGTTTACATAAATTTATAAAAACGCAATATTTCTAATAACAAAACATACATAACAAGCCAATCAGCAGGTACCGACAATCGCTCGCCTATTATGGCGTTCGCATAGCAAATAATCGCAATAGATACATAATATGTATTAAAAAATTTCCAAATAAAAGATATTGTGGTATTTACATGTATGTACCTATGTAGGTATATACATGCAAATGTGTAAATTATTGTAAAAAATAATTGTGTTTATGATTGCGAAAACATTGTGAAAAGTATTAGATACTTTGAAATTAAAAATGTATATATACATATATTTATCATTTTGAAAGTGTTTATGTGTGTACGTAAATATGAATATGTATGCATTCCTGCTTTGTTGAATAAGTGAAGGCATTTGGTGTTGTTGCAAAGCAAACACAGGCAAACAGAAATTTTGAGAACACAAGCGTTTCGATCCAGTCAATTGCAAGTAACTTTAAATTCCTTAAGTTAACATATTTAAGTGTATACCGTTTGCCGAATTAAAAACCGTGCACATGATTATCAATTGAAAGCTAATGTCAGTTTGAAAAAAAAAATGGCACAGGAAGCCGCCGAGGACATGTTGGAAATTGGTGTTAAACATATAAATACATATGTACATATATATGTACCTATATAAGTGGCAGAAATATATTAATATTTTTGTTAGGTACACATGTAACAAATGCGTATGTATGAGAGAAATAATTCCTCTAAAATTCATAGCCCGAAAATTTGTTTACCTTGATTTTGTGCGCGGATTGTTGATAAAAAAAAATACGCACAGTATACAATGTTTATTTGCCCATACCTTCACAAAACTGCGCTTATACTTGTGTAAATTCACGTACTTATGCACATATGTACATACGCATATAAATATATACCCACAAGAGCAATAATATAAAATAGTACCCAGCAGCCGTAAACAACTTTATTTATTTTTTTCCTCATATAATCTGTATACGTCGAAATAACACTGGCTCTCTGTGCGTTATTGCACTTTCTGCACAAACACATACATATGTATATAATATACTACTCGCCATTTGGATGAGACAATATGGACTTGTTAAAAATTCTTACAATTACTTAAAAGTGAATTTGTTAACCTCCACAGCCTATGATAGTAAAGAAAGCTTAAAACCAATAATAAATGAATAAAGTATTAATAATAAAAAATTTAATCATATTAATTATTTCCTATTGTACATACGAGTACAAGGCATTCTCCATCAGAAATATCTCAACTTTTTCAACTGGATTTTTTTGTGTTTTGTGACGCTAAGGTTGCAACCGATTATTTCGTGTATGAATGTTAAAAGTTTGTTTTATTAATTTATCATAATTTATCATAACCTCACTTGTAAGTATTCCTTTTTTTGTTTCGAGTAGTGTACAATACTAAATATACTAACATACTTATAAACAAGCATTTTGTATGTATATGTAGATATGTACATGCATACATATCTACTTTTGCTTTCCGTTTTGCTCTCACTTATTTATTATTTCATGTTTAACTTTTAAGCTAAGTTCAAGTGAGTGTTCAAAAATACAGACATAGTGTTCTAAACTGTGAAGAAAAAAATAATTAAAAATATGTATTCAAAGGAATTAAATTATTTACACATACGAACATATTTTTATCTATGTACATACATGTGTATCGTTTTATTAAAAAATAATAATCTTGCCTAAAATAAATCACAATTAGTTTAAAAATTATTTTTAAAATCAATATGAAACGAAAAATAAAATTCAAACTTAATTTACTCGCGAACATGTTTATGCTAAATAAATAAAATTACTAGTATTAAAAAAAAAGAAATTATTTTTGAAATTTCGCCGACTTCATTTTATTAAAACTGCAAATAAAATTATTTTATTTTTAATTTCCTTTTTTTCAACACGATTTATTTAGTTATTTGCATATGCACGGATTCTTATGTTTGTACATACATACATTTGTACAAACGTTCATGCATAATTAAATTTGTATTTACAAACTGTTTTTGCGGTTATTAATATTGTTTTCGTTGTTGTTGTTGTTCTATGCTGATTAAAATGCGCACTGAGATGTATGAACTTACTCTCCCTATAAATATTTATGTTAAATCTCACCATGATACGGCAGTCTTTGTTTTATAATAATGTTTTATTTACATATGTATGTATATACATACATTTATTCTGGCTTTTTTCTGTCGACAAACGGATGAATATATGTATATATTGGCATTTTGCACGAAAGGTAAATGCCGAATATGTACATACATATACGTATATGTGTATGTATGCAAAAATGTGTGATTAAACGTGCTCACCTACATCCGAGCATATATATGTATGTATGTACATGTTTACCTGAAGTTTTGCATGTAAATTAATGTTTTTTAAGTATGCACGAAGACGTCAACGAACGCGTTCTTGACTGCTTGCCCGACTGTTCTTGCTTCCAAAAAGATAGCACTTCAGTTGATGTCACTATGGATTGCCAACGATCACATTCGAGTATTTGGTGTTCAGTACTTTCTAAGAACTCGAGTTGATTTCCTTTTCTTTATTTAAATATATATATTTTTTTTTGGTTTCAACTTAATTTGCATTGACAAATCATTAAATACTCGTGGTTTTTTAGTTGTGCCACATTTTTTTGCGATTTCTCATTTCCGACGCATTTCTAGGAATTTACTTTTAAAATATGTATGTATATAATATTTGATTTTTAAAAATAGTTTTTTAATGAATACATAAAATTATTTGTGTATATGTATGTATGTACATAGTTTTTTTTATTAATTCAGTTAGTATTTATCAACAAATTCTCATCAAAAGAATTTTTAATGAATCCTTAATTGAATTAGTTCAATAACAGATACCAACGCTCTTCGCCAGCAATTGTTTAGCTGGAGTTCAAAGACCACAAAAGGCGCTAGATATTAATTAAACGAATAGTTGCTTCAATAAAACTATAGCTATTGCAGCAAATGGAGATCGCTATCAGTCAGTAATGTGTTATGCAAAGCTAAATTTATATGGCAAGCATCTAGTCACAATCATAACGATATTTATTATAATCGATTATTGGTGTCATAACCATAAACAGCTGATAATTTTATTTGCAATTTATTTTTAATTTCGGGAGTTCCAAGAAAAGGTTAATAAAATGAAGACAAAAAATTTGATAGTTTATATTCAGTGTGATAAAGTTACATATTACCAGAATATGTCTGTATGTATGCATGTATATAATTTGCGCTTTATAACTGCTGATGCAATTTCCGGCCGCCATAACCATCATTTTTACACGAACATTCCAGCATCACATTCTCTGATTAAACGTATTCATTAGTCTTTGAAATACTAAACTCTACGCATCAAATATGCCTCTACTTAAATATGCAGTAAGTGGCTTAGTTTAAAAATCAAATTCAATTATAAAATTGGTGCTGCGCATGAGCTTTTGATTGATAGGTAATGGATCGGTTGCATACGTGTGAGTGTGTTTCAGTATATTATACATATGTACGTACTAAGAGTGTGCAATATTTGTGTGCAATTGATGGGCGGATGTGGTTCAGCGACGCCGCAACAACGCAAATCATTGATAATAAACAGATGATTGTTTACCTACTACAAATTTTAGAAAAAGTTTTTTTTTCATTAGGCGAGAGTTTTTATTAATACTTTGTTTGTAAATATGTATCTATCTAGTGCGCGTTTTATTCTCCTGACAATGTTTTTTGCTTGAATTTTGCCATTTTTTTTATTATTTTTTTTTATTATTAATTCTTAATATTTTTTGTTCTTTTTTTTACATTTTTTATCTAATTATATTCATTTTTTCTATTTTTTTTTTATTTTTCTTCTTAATTTTTATTTTTTCTTGTTATTTGTTATTTTTATTTTATTTTGTTTATTTTTATATTTTTTGATTTCCTTATTATTTATTTATTTTTTATTATTTTGTATTACTTTTTTATAAATTTATTATTAATTGTTTGGTTTTATTGTTTTTATTTGATTTTCCTTATTTTTTCTATCATTATTATTTAATTTTTGTATCTTTTACTATACTTAATTTAGTTGTCTTATTTTTTCTTTTCGGTATTTATTTTTTATGATCTTTTTATTATTCGCTTTTTGTTATTTGCTATTACTTGTTCGAATTTTTTTTTTTTCATTTTATAAATCTTATTATTTCTCTCAATTTTTTTTAAATATTTTTATTGTTTTTATTTATTTTTATATTTTTTCGTTTTGATTTGTCTTATTATTTCTATTATTTTGTATTATTTTTTTATAAATCAATTGTGTATTGTTTATTTGAAGTGTTTTTTATTTATTTTTATTTTTAATTTTTTTCATTTTGTATCGATTTAGTTATTATTTCCTAATTGATTTTTTTATTTTCAATTATATTTTCTTTATCTTGTTATTTATTATTATTATTTATTATCATTACTATATCTATTTTATTATTATTTTTATTTAGTTTTTTACTATTTTTTTAAGTTTTTTGTTATTTTTTTATTTATTTATAGAACGTTATTCAATTTTCTTTCTTATATTTTTTTTTGATTAGTTTTAAATTTTTTAATTAACTTCCAATCGTACATAGCTTTAAGTGCGAATCCTGACATAAACTAATACGCCCTCCCCATCCCACGCTATAAAATGTTTATTTATTCAAGTATTTTGTATTGGATGAGTGCATAAGTTCGTGCCCGATTTCAAGNCCATTCTCAAACGATTCGAACGGCATCCAGCGGAATCGGGCACGAACTTATGCACTCATCCAATATTTAATTACCTTCAGTACAAAGTAAGTACGTATGCACGTAGTTTTCAATGTTG